TCCATTTTTTAAACAAATACGGAGGCTAGGCAAATCCAAAGATCAGGGCCCGGGATGACTCATTCCTCCGCGCCCCCCCACCCCCCCCCACAATAATAAAAACCACGTATCGTTCTTGAACTACCAATATCTTGAGAGGCTGAAACAGACGTCCCAAGGGATGTGTCGTATGTTTTGCTTCGTGGAGGAGAGCAAGCAGTATAAAACCCACCGCCACCCCCGCCACCCCAACCCCACCAGGGCGGCTCACCCTCTCCCGTTTATGTTTGATCTATAACGTTCATTCTCAACTCAACCATGTATGGATGGATGCGGATTCATCGACGAGAAAGGGGCCAAGCGTGGAGCAGGCATGATAAACATGCGTTGGCTCTCTTGCAGGATCGAGAGACCCTCGACAGGGTTCCAGAGATGGGTGGATCTAGGGTGATCCGGGCCCATGGTGCCTGGAATACGACTCGCATACGGACCATTGAGGAAAAATGAGGCAGAATTTCCATGGTTCGCGAATTTGTTGGGGAGAAAGTTATAAGAGATAGGCTTTTTTTTTTTTTTCCTCTTCCGTCTTTTTCTACTTCTTCCACCTTCTCTCTTTTGTCGCATGCAGAGAAGAGGCAACGAATGGAATGTGCTATCGAACCTGTATCTCGCATCCAAAGTCGGCCTTTCTCCCCATCCATGGATGCAGGCTCTCAACTGAGCCATCTATTAATAAACGCCGTTGCCTGCCGGGCTATAAAAGAAACTGTCGGTTATACTTACCGTACAATAAAGTACGGCGGCGTAACGTAATAGTAAGGTAATGGAACCAGAAAAACTTCGTCTCGGCGTAATAGGGCTGTATTTTACACGGGGATAACGGTGATACGGGGATAAACGGTGACTGGTATGTATATACTGACAGTCAGGTCGGTTGGATGGAGATGTACGTTGCTTGTACAGTTCGAACTGCACTGCAAATCGGCAGTGGCATCTCTTCCTGATGAGAGACATTATTAAGTATGTGTGTGGACATGAGATGAGACGATCAACACAAGGAAATAGCCCATACTCATCTCCGATTCGAAAGCACACACCCCATTGTCCATTGTTCCCTCCCACCGCAACGAATGCCTATTGAACCGGAAAACAACGATCAAAATATTTCAATATTAGACAGAAGCTATGAGCTTTGGGGATGAAAAAAAGCAAATAATATAGTATAAAAAAATATAAATATAAATATAAAGTAATGGATAAAGGGGCAACAAAAGTCAGTGATGAGTTTTAAATATTCAAGCAAAAAAAACCGCTGCCACCCATTGGAATAGAGAAATGATATGCGTGGCAACATACACCAAAATCTACAATGAAAAGAACGGAGAGATTCAAGGCGCGAATGTTACGCAAACAACAACGAACGGGAAGGGGGGAAAGGAATGAGGAGGGGTTCCGTTAGGGCGAGAGGGAAGGAGAAGGAGATATCACTCCTTAGCACCCCTCAACATCTCCCACCCAACGCTACCACCCTTCCCCCCTTTCTCCGTAACCTCCTCAACAGCGTTGACAAGATCAAAGCAGATCTTATCCGAAACCACGCTGTCATGCTTATATTCCGGATGCCTGGCTACGAACTCGCGGATCCACTTCGCATTCGTCCACAGAGTGCCATCCGCACGCCGGCGGATGAAATCAAGATACGCCGCCAGCCGACACCGTGTCTCCACATCGACATTGACGCCGTTGAGATACGACTCGACCAGCGGGATTAGGCCAGGAAACCCGTCCTCCGTGCCGTTGACGATGTCTGCGATGGTCATGAGCTCATACTCGGATTCGATGGGACGTAGGCTCGGCGTTGAGAAACCGGAGGAGTAGCGGGAGCTGGAATCTGATGCGTTACCGCTAGTGCTGTTCGGGTTACTGTTGGGGTGCTGCTGGTGCTGGTGCTGGTGGTGAAGCCGTGATATACGGTGTGGAAAGGGGTCTTTGCGGAAGTAGAATTTCTGCTCGAGGACGGCATTACGTGCGTGGGCGGTTTCCATGTTCATTGTCGTGCGTGGGATGGGGATGTAGAGATTTAGATCGAAGCTGAGAATGGCGCGAGTGATGAGGACCATGAAGACACTGAAAGCGGCATTTTCGAAATCGGTAATCTGGATCTCCATCGGGCGGAACTCGACACGCCAGCCGATGTCGTTTTCGGCCGGCGGCGGCTTGAAGCGGATGTGTTGCCAGTTTGTTGACTGCAGATTCTCGAAGTGATTGGTCTGGTTGAGGTCGAGTTCCTCCAGGTCCTCGGAAAATACTACGATAGGGTCGCGGATGAAGAGGTGGGCGAAGTGGGTGGCAAGCAGGTCATCCATACCACCATCTAGGAGGCGTTGCTTAATGTCTTCGTCTATGACAAGGTCTGGGTCCATGTACTCAGGTCGTAGTCGCGGATCTTGGGATATGTATGTGGAGTTAGACGCATATCTTGACTTTGGGATGCGCCAGCGATCATTCTTCAGTGGCTACTCTCATTTTTTCGTTAGCACTAGGATCGTGTCGCATAATAGAGGTAGAGTATTCGCAACTATATTAGATTGGAATGCCATGCGTACCTTCTCTCCCAGCTCTTCAGGCGTGCGGCAATCAACCGCGTTGCTGATCTGATTCCACCGAACGTCAGTGTCAACTAAGAAGCCTTTGTAAATTGGTGTACCAGCAGTCAAAGCCAACATTATCGGCCCCAGGGGGCTTAGCTGGTCATAGAGCCTTCTTCCCTCATTGATATTTTTACACTGGAACGTGATTTGCAGACAACAGCTTCCCATGCCAAACGCCATTGCATCCATATAGACATGATTCTGTTTCACAGCACCATTACGGACATCATCGTCTTCTGGCCAGTCATGGAGATCGTAATTGACCGTTGGGTCGTTGAATGGCCAGGGAGTATTCCTATCTCGAAACACGGGAACGTTCAGCTGCACCTTTCTGCCTCTCCTCCATCGAATATTTGCGGCCAGTGTGGGGAAGCGGATATGCGGGTTTGCGATTTCGTCGGGGACGAACTGTGAACGGAGCGCGCTGCCCGAGACAGGATAGAATGGTTGTGTGAAATCGCCCTTGGTGCCTAGTTGTGGGAATGTGGTAAGGGTTATGGGGTATTCATTCGGTGCCATATGTTTTTTCGCAATAACTCTCCTATCCACCCGAGTCCAGCATTTTAATTTTTAGCTCATTTCAGTTCGTGGGGAACTCAAGCACATTGATGGAAATGTTTAAACGAAGTAATGTACCTCCACTTCATATTGGACTCGACTCTCAAGAGGTCTTGGAATCCAATTCCCCAAGGCTTTCCTGGTGTTGCCTCCAGCATAAAACGTCCAAACTCGGGATGGAACTTGGGAAGCGGTTCTTTTCTGTAGGACCAAGACAGGCCAAATTAGAGACAACGCAACAAAATAAATCCCCATATGAATCAAGAACGTAGGAATATAGCAAAGAGACGCGGGCTAATTCAGTGGTGGTAATCACATACACTCCATCCAGGAGCCCCTGTACCAATTTCCCATTTGCCTGCACTTCCTCTTGCGCCAGCGATTTCAAGAGCTCGGCCTGGTGGAGTGAAAGTCGCACTTTCTGCGCCTTCTGATCCACCGCTACGACGAGATACTCAACCTAGTTCGCCGCAAACCAATTCATCAGCAAAACACTCAAGAATATGTATTTGAATATATATATATATATTCCAAAACATAGACCGGGAGCTCAATCCATACCTCATCGCCCCAGAGCAGCGCATTTCGCTCTTTTCCCTTTGCCTTCCCCCAGATGGCCAGAAGTTGCTAAGCGAAATAGGTTCAGCGACGCAGAACGGGAACATTTTAAAACATGGCTGGCTGGTTTGCGTGCAAAGGAGAGGCGCGCGCTTACTTCAATCCCCCATTCTCTGACTTGCTGTGCACTTTTTTTCGCTTCCGGCCAGGTCAGCGGGGTGCCAAGCGCTCTGGAAGAAGAATTTTTGGTTGTAAGAAATTTGTTGATCTGTAACACAAATGCGCACGGTGAGGTGGGGACAGGGTTTCCATATTTCCTTACAGCAGGCCCATAGCGAGAGGGTGCAACCCTTGCCAATTGTAGCTCTCCGAGATGATAAGGATAGTTATTTCTTCGTTTTGGTTATTTGTTCGGAAGAAAATAAATAGCGAAGCTTTCTCTGGCCTCAGGGAAGATTGAGGGAATGGAGGCAAAAATGACGTGATACTAGTAACTTTCGTCCGAATAGACGCACAAAGCTATAGCGCCTGCGGCGAAACGAAACGAAACGGATTCTGTGAGGGACGAGGAAGAAATAGAAAGCAATATATACCCATGGACTGCTCCCATGCCTGGGCCGTATATAAACGATCCTTAATGCTGGTAAATTATAACCCAGGGCTTTTTCGTCGTAACCGCTAGGCCATGTTTCTATCTAGTAGCTCCGGTGGCATTATTCTTCACGCGAAACGAAATCATTCGATACGTAAAACCATAGGGAACGTTGTTTTCATGAGGCTAAATCAATGGACTAACAGTTTGCCGCTATATCTGACTATATAGATGTATACATCTGCGTGCATTATCGATATTGCACACAATCGCTGAAATTGGAAGTTCACCCGCAGTCAAGATCAATGAATCAAGAGAGGCGCACAAAGAGAAATGAACAGTCGACTGATTTGACACTTTCCACCCACTCGCTAACAATTTAATAGTAGCCATGCTATTCTCGAGTGTAGCAAGGATATCAGGGAAGGGGGAAAAGACGATATGACTTCCACAGCCACTACTTCATGGGGGATGAATCAATTCGAAGGAATCGAACAAAAGGATTCCACGCTTGTCCCACATGCACTGTAACTTCTGTAAACCGTCGGAAGCTTTTAAAAAACGCGGTGGAATCCTGCCCAAATCCTTCAATCAGATCTTCCCGGATGTCGTTTACTCCGCTTCCTGCTTATAAATCAGAAGGCCGGAACGCGGGCGTAACGGCGGGAGACCGCATGATTCTTAGCAATAGTAACGGCGCCTGTGTTTCACTGGGGCCGGCCAAGAAGGGCGAGACGAAATGCGGACTGATTGTGCGACTTCAGGTGGCTGACAGGCCAGGCCATCCATCAATACCCACACGTTCTTGGTCACAGGGGACCATCATATCAGCTGGTCCCCACAAAGTTACGAGCCTGCACTCGAAATCTAAAGGAATACTGGGTGAGGTAAGTCTTTTTCTTTTCTCTTCTATTTTCTTCTCTCCTTTCTTTTCCTTTCCTTTCCTTTTCTTTTTTTGTGGCAGGGCGAAGGTGTGACGTGAAGGTATTTGAAAATGAGTGCGACAAATTGCTTTCGGCAATTGAACAAATCTCCCCTCAAGCTCTTTATTATATACAATCCAATTAATGGGGAATTTTTGTAGCATGATGC